CCTTATTTCCTATTAATCTTGAGTTTTTCTTCATTCAATTTCAATTTTGACGTGCACAATCATAAAGTGTGAAATGGAGACTAAAAAATTACGCAAAAATACAACCTGACGTCAATTTCGCCTTCAATTTTTCGATCATACAATTTGAGCTACGCAAGAGTCCATATAGTTGTATCACATTCTGTTGAAATTAGAGCGATAGGAAGTTTGAATCGTTTCTGTTCAAAAGTAAAGGTGACCTAACGAAACAAGGTTCTACAAGTATGAGGTAGACGCTAATTACTGAAAACACAAGGAAATTACCACACATTTTTGTTGATCGGTTCATCCACGGAAAAATTAGTTTTTTTGCCATTTTTTTCTCTCAGTCTCTTTTGATTCATTATTATTCAGTTGTGTAGTTTTTCCACATCAAAACTCATATCACATCGAGGTAAACTTAATTAAGACACGTCTCTGGGAATACACCCTGATTAAAGCTTTGTTCTTTCCTCTTTTACATTATCTTCTTTGGGCAATGTTGTGTTTGGGATAGGATAAAGGCCACGCAAAGCTCAATACCTCTCATGCACGGGCGAGACCGAGTGAATTAGCGACGCAAAATTTTCATGAGCCCACCGCGAGCATTAGGGGTGGGTCGGATTATTGATGAGGCACAAACACCAGGGGGGGGGGTGCTTTCAGGGCCTAGCCCGAGGGGAGGGAGCACATGGCTTATAAACCTACTTTTCTACATGTTTCATCCTCTCGCTGTCTCTCCAATTTCGCCTTTTCCCACCTATCCACCCCACAAGCCTCCCTCCCGAGCCGCCCTGTAAACATAGCGTAAAATGCGCGTTATCGGAAAAAACTTAGCGACGGCACTGTACAGGGGTAGACGGGATCACTTCCTCCGCCACAGGATAAACCGCACCGCGTCAAAAACGACGTAACTCCCTCTAACTACCCTAGCACATAGGTCCTTTTTCCGGCGGTGGGCCCTCCCCCGAAAAACCGTTTCGATATCTATTGTCGCGCGGGGTGGTTTTTTTTCGCCCAACATTCACGACTATGTATCCCACTAGTGCAACAGCCCCTTCCCTTCCCCCAATGTTTGTTTACGGTTTTTTTTATCCGCCTAACTCTGTCGATTTTTATTAATCAATTAGGGTGGTCAGCCCCAACGATGGTATCGGAACCGCTCCAGTCATTAAAAGCATCGAAATGACAGAAAAAAGCTCGTTTTTTTGGCCGGATTTCTATACTCGAGGATTATAATGCCATTTATCACCACCGAAAACAACTCTATTGTCGTTTTTTATGGCGTTATCAATGATGTTAATCTGAGACTCTATGAAACTGTTATGATGCACTAAGTGACTGCGGTTAGTGGTATTTTTGTTCTTCTTCTTTTTTGTGAGTGAGGGTGTGAGTGTCCGGCTGATTGACCCCTCGAGTCGAGTTTTTGTCTCAACGGACCTCACGCAAGGATGATGCAATTATCTTGATTCGATTTGTCGTGGTTCTTTCCCGATGCCGGCGAGTTTTATTCGATTATTCCGGATAATTCGCCTGTCACTTGGTTGTTTGGAGCTCTATTGCGTTGTTTACCTTCCGTCTTTTATTCTCGGTGGACTTCTAGTTTTGACCGCTTTTCATTAGGCGACGTTATTTCCCAGAATTTTGGATTTTCAGAGAGACATTTTTTCTGTATACCAGACGTAATTTTCGTGATAACTTGATGCGCTGAGCTGCGAACGAAATTTGTCTCGTTTTCATTTTTTTAAAAAAGAAGGAAAAAAGAACCAATTATGAAACCCGTTTTTTTTTTTTTAAATTTCCCGTGAATTTATGACATATTGCGTACAAAATATTTGTAAATCACACTGATTTTTCTCTTGATTACCCACACTAAAACAGCAAAGTTGTTGAAAAGAAACGCTTTCTGTGTAAAATTGAATTCACCGAGTAAATTTTACGAAATTGAAAGGACGTATGCGTATGTTCCTTCGTTTATAAAACGACAATATTCGACGTGCAATCCAAATGGACTGGACTACATTTTGCAATTAGAGACTACAATTTCTGGATCTCTCATAAAAGTACCTATCTGCATAGAAATCTAATTATAACATATACATTGTTTCTAAAATCAGCCAGAAATTGTAGTCTCTTATTGCAAAATGAAGTCCAAATGTGGTTCAGTGAAAATCTGGCAAGTTTAGTCATGATAGACAGAAACCCAGGCGCATCGGGCATCCTATCCTGCCCATCGCCAACCTTTCTTTCGCATCTCTCCGGACGGGAGGAAAGGCTAAAATTACGGCCACCGCATGAATAATAGAGGGCTAATAGTGCGGTTTGTCCCGTCGCCCGTCGCACCTACAAATTTGACTGCATTCACGCTCGATTTACGGGTGAATAAGCTGCAACAACAAAAGCTGCCCATCGGGCCCCTGGAGAGGGGGGAGAGAGGGAGGGGGTTTGTTTTGCTGGCAAATCCCATCGCCGAGAATCGAAATGAAAGGCCAAAGGCGAAAGGTGGCCCCATTGTTGCGTGGGGGTTGGCGTTAAAATCCCGATTCCTTGAAAAGGGTGGTCGTCCTAATCAGAAACATCGTAACTGCGTTCGATTCCCAACCGAATCGATGGAGACCAAGTCCGTCAACACGTCTGTAAAACCGTCCTTTTTTCATAGGGAAACCAAAGGCAGGTATGTCATTTTGAACCAAACCGAAATTCGAGAGTCTATTCCGATTTTTTGGAAGTTAAGTGGTTTGATAACACGATACGAAAACGATGAGATGTGCTGTTTCATTCTGAGCGAACACTGCGAGAAAGGGAATTAGAGTGTTCAGCGAGGCAGTAGGCGGTCTCTGGCCGCAGCTGTTCACGCGCCGGTCAGGGGCTGACCAATCGAGACCGCTCTCGGCTAAAACAGCCTATCCGCCCATGATTTCAGTACGAGATTAGGCGGTTTTGTATCGAAGGATGAACGGGAACGAAGCCCCGGGTTAAAACCGCGTTCACGCACAGGTTTTTGCCGGGGAGTTACGCGGTGAGCGGCGAGGCGAACTCGTAGGCGGTCTCTCGCCGCGCGCCGGTCAGCGGCTGACCAATGGGGGCCACGCACCGCGGCGCTGACCAATGGATGACCACTCGTCCACGCTCGATTTTCCGCTCCGGTCCACCTCTCGCTGCCGCGGCGTCGAGCTCATTCCATCAGTCATTTTCTCGCGCTCGGTCCGGCCCCGCGTTCCCTCTCTCGTTCCGACCCACCGCTCAGCGTTCCCGCTTGACCGTTCTTTTGCCGCGACCCATGGGAACTCTTCTGGAGCTCGTTAGATATTTGAGTCTTCGTAAAGGTATTTTTGCTTTGGTTTTATATTCTATCGTGAAGTCATAGGCGTTATTTTTCAATAGAGCTGTTCGTTAATAATTTTAACATCGGGTTGTTTTTTTTTTTGTTTGTTTGTTTGTTTGTTTGTTTGTTTGGCGCGACAGTGCCGTCTAAAGCAAGAACGTCGTAACTTTTTTTTGCTACACATACTGATCTATCACGAGAAAACGTGGTAATCACGATGCTTTATTTTGTATGTTTGAATTTTCAATGGTAGCTACAATAATTTTAGAATTAAAATTTTGAAGTTCACACTGGAAAAAAAAAAACACATTGGATCTAGAGTCCAGACTCTAGAACACATTGACAAGAAAAAGGACTCTTGATTCAATCAGATTTAAGCTTAAATCAAAAGGAAATCCGCTCAAATTAAGAGGCTTGGCTCTTGATTTAAGGAAAAATCCGATTGAATCAAGAGTATTTTTCCTTGTCGATGTTTTTAAGAGTCTGGACTCTAGATCCAATGTGTTTTTTTTTCCAGTGCGTGGTTTGTAACACTTGGTCAGAGAAAACTGAAAAAATTGACCATGGAGATAGGACGTTTTTGCTTTAGATGGTAGAATAGTATTAAACCGGTCCCTTTATTTTAACATTTAGGACATTAGATATTGCACATTATCATATTTTTGCTCATATTTATCGATTTGTTTATTCATTATACATGTTCGCTTATCCATTCATTCATTATGTTATTTATTTATAGTCAACTTAAACCCATGTGTATTGTTATATGCGCTTGACATTAATTTGAGAGAATCAGTGCTAGTTTTCATCACTGGGATTTCTTTTTAAAATTAAAATCCGTCGGGTTAATTAGTCATTCCGCCTGTATGACTTCTGGGAAGGTTTCGTAATTTGCAGACTGTCTACTCTTGTTCCGAAATGTCTGTTGACGTCAGAACTAACCTTCAAATTTGCAACGGATATGATTACTCCCAGCGTCAGTGGCATTAACAATGTTCCGTCCAAATTTTGATGTACCCCATCGCTCTTTTTCACCGTGTTTTTATCCGCTTTTTTGCCGTAACACACATTCATAATTACGAGGAAATGTCGCTGAAATCTCCGCAGAACTACTACTCTTTCTAATGTCGTCTATGTTCAGAAATTTATGAAATTCATAAAACAAATTTGTGTAATTTCCTTTTTACCGTGTTTATTGTATAGTTCAGCAATCTGAACCCGATTCTTCATCCATCCTTTTAAATCTTCATTAGCCCATTGTGCGTGCGTGGTAATGATTCCTCGCTTTTTCGCCAAATTGAAGTAGATTTTCCCCTTAGTTTTCGGATTTTTTATCAGCTGCAGTATTATTTATTAAAAATGAAACTATGGGACCAATTATCACGATTTCACGTAACCTAAAATTGGTTGTGACTTGAGTTTTATCAAGTCACCACCGTCCTCTCAATCTCTACCTACTCGTCAAATAGAAGGGGCGTTTTCCCATATGTCCATAATTCCTTACCCTATCCGTTTGATGTCTACAAGTCGTCGCCTGTGTGTTTTAGCGGACACAGACGAGTTGCCTACTAATCAAATTGAAGGGGCTTTTTCCAATATGCCTATGATTTCTCACTTGTTCTCTGTTCTTTACAAGTTATCATCTCGTGTGTTTCAGCGGACGCAGATGGGGAAACCCCCTCCTCGCAAGACATCCTAACCTGCGGCGTCTGTCAGAAACCCTTCGTCCTGGGCGACATCGTCAAGTTCATCCAGCACAAAGTCCACTCGTGCAACAAGGAGAACTTCCCCGGTGGACACGAGAACCACCTGCCACCCTCCGGCGAGGGCGACGCCGATTCGCTGGCCCTCGTGGCGCGGCGCCCGAGCATCTCAGCCCCGATCAAGAAGTCCTCCTCGACCTCAGGGAGGATCTGCACGCCACCCCTTGGCGAAGATGACCCCCGCTGCTCCACCCCCAAGAGGAGGTCCTCGTCACTGGAAAGCCCCCTGCTCAGGCATCACGAGATGGATGTCGACTCCTTAGATGAGGATATTATCAAATCCAGGAAGATCAAGCAGGAGTCTGATCTTTCGTCGCCAGAGGACGCTGTCCTCAAGAAGATTCGCGCCGATTGCGTCGACGCTGAATCGAATACTACGAATTCTGGTGAGTCCTCTTTTTTAATGTATTTCAACGGTGGAAGTTGCGAAACATCAGGATGCCACAATTAATTAGGGAAACCCAGGAGCTGTAAGGAAATTTTAGGTTTGGAATCTCAGCTCGGGGAAAGATTTTTAAGTCATCATTATTCGCTGTCTAGAATGGGTTTGACGTTTCGGATATCAAATTTCACGTGGAAACTATTACTGATTATGTCTTACTAACCATCTTGCATATCTTAAATTACCAGGGAGTTTTATTTTCTGAATTCTGTCGCAACTCCGACGTATAGCTTGATCCGAATGTTTCAAAATTTTCGCATCGTGTTATGTCTTGCATGGAGGACAAGATGTCGAGGTGTTTGAATTGAGTGAATTTCCACGTATCAAAAATTTGAAGCTCCAGACGAAATTTGACCAGCCAATTTTTTTAAGTCACCAGCGCAGACCAACGAAAGTCGAACCATTTTTTATTCCAACTTCGGTTTTTTTTTTTTTTTTTTTTTTTTTTTTTTTTGGGGGGGGGAAACTTTCACTGCTAACTTCATGGGTGCGGGAGTACTAATCGTATTTTTGGCAACGCCGAAAGTTTGATCTCCTTCCTTGACACGCCAGCAGTGGTGTGGCGTGCTTTACGATGTATCGATTGTTATGTCATTTAAACATATGGAAAAGGATCGATAAACAGAGTGTTCGCAGCGAACACCTTAATAATCGATTCTTTACTATAGGTTTCAATGGCATAACATTCGACACATCGCAATCCACGCCAGAATCCAGAGGATGACCAGAGCCGTTTCTCACGGTGGGAGTGGATTCCATCGATGCGGTGTGTCATCTTCGCGGCCGGATTAGCAGCAGGATTAAAGATTAAAGTAGGCATACTTTAATTTTCGCCAAATTCAAGCTGGGTCGCAACGAGCATGCTATGAATTCAAGTAGTTGGCCACTGGCGCGCATGCCAAGTCGAACAAAAAATTATTCCGCGCCAATATATTGCTCAATGGGTATTCTTATCCGCTGTTCCAAAAATTAAAAGCTGAAATTGGAAATCCCTGCCCTGTATCATTTTTCATTTTTAAACACAGCTCTAGCTCCATCATCACCGAATTTCGATTAAATATCCGATTTCTGTCAAATATTTATTCACTCTCAAGTTGGCAAACGTGTCCCGGGAAAGTGGATGTCTCCTCAGAGCAGAGCTCTCGGTGAACTGTCCGGACAATTAAACGGATTAACACATTTGATAGTGACCTTCATTCGGCCTCTGAGTTGCGGTACCGGGCACCTAAAGCAAAAGCCTGCCACATTCCGACATCTGGCCGCAAAATTCGTCGCCCCTGTGGGCAAAGAGCGTATCTCAAGCTCCACCGAGGCCTTATTTTACATATAAATCAATGCCTTCTGTGGCTCCCACGGAAATCGAGATACGACGATATGCTCCAGCGAAGACTTGTCCGTTTGGTCATCATCGTCTTCACCAGCGAGGATTTTTCAGATTTTTTCGCTGCTTTTTTCTCGCCAATCTCGATACTCGGATCTCTTTCTCTCTTTTTCGTGTGTTTCGACCGATTCTTTCTCTTTCTGTCGTGGGATGCTTTATCTGGCTCTCGTCGCTACCGACGTGTGACGCAATCATACCTGGTTTAATTACTGCGATTTTAATATGTTACTGTTTTCGTCGTGTTTTTTCGCTGAAACTACGGATTTTTTTCGCTCCGGCGCAAAGAATTACTTGCTGACAGACGGGTCCTGGGGGAAAAATTGGAAACATAATAATTATTTTAGGACTTTAAAAAAATGTCACATTTTCAAACTACTCTATATTGTAGAAATTTATTTTTCTACTTGGTAATAATATTTCCACCAGGCTGTTTTAAAGGAATATGTTGCTACGCGTTCCGCGTTACTCCTACGATTTCAGAGACGGATCCAGCAATTTGGCAACACCAGATTTCCTCCATTTAAACCTATGCTAAATAATCGATTCTTGTCGGAGTACCTGGCAACTCTAAGACTCGATATATTTCACAGGTTTAAACGGAGGAAGACAATGTTACCAGTTTGCTGGATCCGCCAATGTTCGATTTCATACATTTTACAAAATACGGAATTTCCGACAGCCGAGGAACGGTCCAGCTAGAGTCCCTTTATACTGAGAGTCAAGACAACACCCCTCATGGAGTCACAAACGGGAATAAAGATTACACAAGTTGAACGTTTTCCGTAATCTTTGATCGGCTCATTCTTAAATTTCTTTCTCCGTTCCTTCTCTCATTCCGTTTGTTCCTTGCCGCACCCGTAATTCCCCGGTCCATTCCAGATTATAATCTTTGCAATCGGTGAAACTGTAATCTTTATTCCCGTTTGTGACACTGTGAAGGCCTAAAATCCGGTTAACCAATCAGAAATGGATTCAAATTGTCTTGACTCTCAGTATAAAGGGACTCTAGGTCCAGCGTGATGCCAGGGGCCAGTGCATCTGCCCGTCATGTCACCGGCTCGGCGGCGAGCGTCACGTCAGCCGAGATTGCGTCCAACGTCGGGCGGGGCGGGGGGCGGGGGGCGGGGGGCAGATTGCGCGGGCAGATGGAGTCATTGTGACGCAAGCGAGCGAGCGAGTAGGGGGTGGTGGCTGGGGATCGGTGTGGCTGGGCGGTCACCGCGTGAAAGGAAAGGGTTAACCCTCCCCGGCGGACAGCGGGGTCAGCGGGGACAGGCGACTCCGTCTTTGTTGGGACGTCGATGTGGATGTGCGAGTCGCGGATAGGGATAGGACTCCGGGCCCGGACGATACCAACTGACACCGACAGCTGTGCGCCGAGCGCCTTCTCTCATTAGACGCGCATTTAAGCCCGAGCCTTGGGCCTTGGTCCTTGTGAGCCTCCTCCTCATTCGAGGATCTTCTCAACTCTAATAGCCAGTGAAAAAATTATGTCAAAAGGAAATGGACCGAGTTCATCGGAAAGGAACCAACCCACATTCTCGAAAAAATTGAGTTAAGAATGTTTTGGAGTTCCTTTAGTTGTATATTTTCTCCTGCCAAAAATTCAAAGTCGAAAAAAATTTTAATTTGTGAAAAACTGGTTTAAAGTTTACTTTCTAAATTGAGTCTCACAAGGAATAAAACTTCAAACCTCTTTTTCTCAGTTTCAATTTGATGTGGGTCGGTTCCTATCCAATAAACTCGATCCAAATTGGAGGGCGCGTTCAGTGCTAAGGAAAAACGTCGTATGGACATTCCTCCAATTTCCTTTCGATGATGTATTTTCGAAGATAGCAATGCATACTTTTCCTTGAAATTTTCAGATATCTTAGATTGAATTGCGAACAAACTGTCTGAAAAATTGGAAGTTCAAGAAACTAAATTTAAAAATTTAAAATTGCCTAGTCCCCGACGTAAATAGCCTAGATGCTGATCGTCGTTAAATAAAATTAACTAACTAACTAAATATTTACAACTTTTCCAGTAAATTCGAACTTGATCCAAGAAAATTTAGCAGCGCCTGAGGCAAGAAAAACAATGATATTGCTGATTTAACAATTTAATTGTTTAAATATATGTCCGACGTGTTTCAAACGCACATTTTACAATAAAAGGAAGCTAAGGTGGTTAAATTAGCATTATTTTCATCGTAAAGTCTACATTGAAATATCTCGAACACTTTTTCAAACTGCAAAATTGTGAAATCAGCGATATCATTTTTTTCCGTGCCTCAGGCGCCGGAAAATTTTCTTGAATCAAATTCGAATCTATTGGAAAAGTTTTTAATGCTTACCTATCAATTTTTCAGACGATTTTGTTCGCAAGTCAATCTAAAATATCTGCAAATTTCAAGGAGAAATATGAATTACCTACTTCCTTCGAAAATATATTTATCATCAGAGGAAAATTGAAAGAGTGTAGACATACCTCTTTTTTACCACGCGATTAGCCCATTACTTACCTAAATCCATAAGGGCGCGAACTTCATCTGACTCAGTGCGGCGCTCAGTGCATCTAAATTGACCCGGGTCGTTTTTTTACCGAACAACAAAGGAGTAAGTGAAGAGATGAACTGTTGTCGCACCCTCCTCGCCGGATTCACGGCCAAGGCGAACCGAGCCTCATAAAAACAGCTCGACGAAGCTAACAATCGCATCGCTTGTTTTACAGCGTGTAACAACTTCATCGGACATTGTGTCACTACTTTACGACTCCTGGCAAACAAACCAGTTTTCCTCTCGCGCTCGGCCACCGATCCAACCTAACAATCGACTCCGTAGAATATCGACGTGTATCGAAGTTCGATACATCGATCAGCAGCCGGATTGTTGAAATTTATGTCGGCACGACAAGAATCGAACATCGATAGATTACACGGCGCAGATAGGGCTATGTCCAGTCTTGTCTTGCCGACGGAGCCAGTTAGAGTTTCGACGACCAGACTGCTGGTCAAAAAGCGCGTTTGCTGAAGATAAAACGAGTAAACGTTGAATTTTATCTAAAGTAACGCTGTGAAAATAACGTTGCTGGACGAGACAAAGCCATTTTTTGACTGTTCCCTCGGTTTTAAAAGAACGCGAATAAAAGTTCTCGAGTTAATTACGTTGACTTGTTTTTTAATGAAAAAATAAAGTATGAAAGGACGTCTGCAACGTCGCAAACAGATTTACGTGGTTTCACTCTATGACCATCGATGCAGTAAGTAACTCTATCGAAAAACACGACGAAAACCACACTAAAAGTTTTTGCCGGTCGGTCTCCAACTTTCGTATCATGATATAATCACGCAAGACGATAGTCTCTTAGACTAAAAAAGTTAATACAAAATCAAAGATAAACTAAATCTAGATAATATTTTCAAAATATTATTCATTGGTTTTTAATCAAGTAAAGAATCTCAGAAAACTGCAAGATAAATATAGATGAAAAAAAAAAAAATTATATCAACTTACATCCTACTCGGTTGTATTTAATGAACTTGGAAAGTTCGATCGATTCTTAAAATTCCACCCTTCTCAGTG